CCACCACCGCCCGGCTCTGCCTTTTCTTTCCTTTCATTTGTCTTTATGTGAGACAGGGTCACACTATGTAGCCCAAGCTGGTCTTGCCTCAGCCTTGCAGGTGAGCAGCTCCCAGCTGGTGTTGCTGATCTGAGGTCTCAAAATTGATGGGGGCCTTGATGAGTTAGCAGGGTGCGGGGGATCCCTCGTGTGACAGGTCTCCACCCCAACTCCCTCTGCTGGGAAGCCCACAGCAGATCAACTCCTGAGCCCATTACCTCCCCTCCCACCCAGCACAAGCTGCCATGGCTTGCACAGCCTCTGCCCAGACCCTCCCCACCTAGGGGCTTGAGGTTGTTTACACAGAGGCCAGCATTCCTGTCAGAGACCCTGGGTCCCAGCCCCCACCCACTTACTCCAACACCTTGTGGGGTTTGGGAGGGGGACCCCTGTGAGCAAGTGTGGGCACCAACCTGTCTCCTCCCATTCCCTTTAATAGGTTCCAGAATGTCTCCAGACCCATTCAATAACGGAGCCGTCTCACATGTGTGTGTAAACAAGCATTATTATTTATTTTATGGGCACTGGGAAAGAGTGGGGAAGAACTAATGAGGACATTGGAGGCCAGTGGGATGCCATCAGGGTGGCCTTCCTACGGTGGGGTGAAGGGAAGGCAGGGTAAAGGAAAGGGCCCGAGAGGTTAAAGATCAGAGAAAGGGGCAGATCCATGGAGGTCACGTCTCTCAGTGTATAACTCACTTAAGAACAATGGGACTGTGGCTGAGATGCCACATAGACCAAGACATCCCCTTTGTGGAGGGAAGTGAACTGGGAGTTGCCCCTTCCCAGAACGCCTGTCAGAGGTGCTCTTCTGATGGTGGGATTGGGGAAGACAGGCCTGAGACAGAGAAGAGGTGACAAGACACACACAAGGTGCCCTAGCCCTCATCTCTAGCCAGGGACCTTGCCTATGTCTGCACGTGGGTCAGCAGGACGTCACCTGCCACTTCTAGACTGTTGATGTCTGGCAAGTTCTTCAGACGGTGGTAGTATTCACAGAGGTGTTGCCCGTTCACGGCTACCTTGAAGGCTTGAACTTCACATAGGATCCACACCTGGGGAGAGACACCACAACATTTGCAGGGCACTTGGGAAAGACACCAGGCTGGTGTCTCCCTCCCTCACCTCCCCTTCCTCAGGAACAAGCTTAAAACCTGGCCCTTGGCCAATGTGAATGGTTTGCCCTTCACCAAACATGAATGTTCTCTTTGCCTACTACATTAGCGTAGGCTGTTCCCAAGCCTAGAATGCTGTTCCCACCCTCTACACCTTCCATACAGGGACAAGTGCTGGTCCATCTCTTGCAATGACCTTCCATGTCTCTCTCACCTCCTGACCCCCACCTATTTCAGCCAACTGCCTACCTAGACCCTATCCCTCACCCCCATGCTCACTCTCCAGCTGAACCCTAAGCCACTAGGAACAGGAATGCTGGCTCAGGCTATCTAAGTCTCCAGTGTTCCATGCCTGGTCTCCTCTAAGTCATTTTCAATTAGACAATTGACACAAACGTTAAAGGATCATGTGACCCATGGTCACTGCTAACACTCATATCGAACTGTATAAGGAACAGGCTAATACTCATGTCACACTGTATGTGGGCACTATCCAGAGTATGCTGCAGACTCCGCCTGTCCCATCCTTTCTGCTCTATGAGATTCAGTCTTGTTAGGTCTTGTTTGCTCTCACTAAATTAAAAACCAAGCTCAAAGGGCTGGAGAGACGGCTCAGAAGTTAAGAGCACTGGGTTCACTTCCCAGCTCCCACATGGAAGCTCACAACTGTCTGTAAATTCCAGTTCCAAGGGATCTGATACCTTCTTCTGACTTCTGAGGGCCTCAGGCATGTGTGCACGTGGTGCACATATATCCATGCAAAAAAAAAACATTCATATGCATTAAAAACAAACAAAAGACCCCACAAAAACCTCAGCAGGGTATGGCAGCTCACATCTATAATCTTAGCAGTCAAAAAAAAAAAAAAAGCCAGGCTTGCTGCATGTCTGCAATTAATTCCAGCACTGGAGAGGCAGGAGACTGGGAGTTCAAGGCCAGCCTTGACTACATAGTGCAGGTGGCCATGTCAGAGGAGCAGCAGATGGCAGTTGACTTCAGAGTGTCAGCCCACCAGGAGGCGAATCCCTGATGGATGATAGGCAAGGCCCCAAGACCACAGACCCCAGAGTGTCTTTTGCTTCTGCTGTGCCTTCACATGTTTGCTGCTGCCATCTTTCTCTGGTATCTGACATGGTGTGCATGGGTGTGGGGAGATCCCCACTGCCTGTAAGGTAGTGTGTTTATCTCATAGAAAAATCCCATTCTACTGGGCATTTTTACCTGTGGATTATTATGAAGATGATTTCTTCCTAAGCTGTACTGTCTAATTGATGATAATAATAATGTTAGTCTAAATAGAGATTTGAATAAATTTTAGGAAGTGTCACACAGCTAGAACACAGGAGTTTCTATTGAGGAGCTGTACAGACTGGGGCTTAGGCTAATGATTAAGGAAAACAACTGAATCCCAGTAGTCCAGCTAGTTTAAATTCTTTTCATCTTAATGTTGGGAGAGGTGTTCACAGGTTTCAGAGTGCATACAGCTGAAACAAAGCTCTGAAAATAACTTAAAGTTAGACTAAGATGTTTTTGTCAAATAGCTTTGAGGTGAAAAACCCAAGAAGACAATCTAAAGTTTTAGAAAGGCACATAGTTGAGTGAGAAACTCTTTAAGGTCAGGGAACAAGAACAAAGAAGCCCAATTATTATTCACTGATGTGCCTTTCTTGCTAGGATTGGTTGATGACTAAAGGTGATGGATGATTAATTCCTTATAACCCATTTCTGCCCTCAGTCTCCTGGTATAAAAACTATTGATGAGTGGATGTTGTAGAATATTATTTTAAGACGTGCTACATTTGTTTATGCTGTAGAACATTTGTTTAATGATGCAAAGATGTATTACATTCTTTCATGCTGCGTTTGTTTAACTCTGTGAACCTATGTTACTGTTTGTTTGTTTGTTTTTCAAGACAGGGTTTCTTTGTGTAGTTTCAGTGCCTGTCCTGGATCTCGCTCTGTAGACCAGGCTGGCCTCGAACTCACAGAGATCTGCCTGGCTCTGCCTCCTGGGTGCTGGGATTAAAGGTGTGTACCACCACCGGTCAGTGAAGCTGTGTTACTGTGCCTGTCTAAAACACCTGATTGGGCTAATAAAGAGCCGAATGGCCAATAACTTGGCAGGAGAGAAAAGGTGGGGCTGGCAGGCAGAGAGAATAAATGAGAGGAGAAATCTGGGAAGGAGAGGGTCAAGGAGCAAGAGAAGGAGGAGAGGAGGACATCGGGCCAGCCACCCAGCTGCACAGCCAGCAACAGAGTAAGAAAAAAAGGTAGACAGAAATAGAGAAAGATAAAAGCCCAGAGGCAGAAGGTGGATGGGATAATTTAAGAAAAGTTGGCAAGAAACAATCCAAGCCAAGGCCAGGCATTCATCAGTAGTAATAAGCCTCCATGTGCAATTTATTTGGAAGCTGGGTGGTGAGCCCCCAAAGGAGTAAAGAGTAATAAAATAGCTAACAACAAGAGGATACACACCCTAAAGATTTAAAGTAGAGCTGACTGTTTTTCATGTATAAAAGTTTAGATTTGTGATTCCTTTAAGATTCCTCATAAGATTACCTTTCAAGATAAGTAATAAAGTGATTGGTCCTTTCTTTGTAACTACAAAATGCAGCTTGCCAGTAAAAGAATACCTTGCTTGCTTACACTGTTAATCTATAACAAGTTGCCTGGGTATGAATGTACGTGGGTTCTTGGGATAATTTGTTTTCATCTGTAATACATAAAATGTTTAATCACGTTAAGGGATATGGGAAGCATGCTGTTTTTTACTTGTATTCATTGTAATCCTTCACTTGAAAAATAGATTGTAACTGCATTGTAATTTTTATACTGCTTGAAAGATTTTGCTGGGGTATATAAGCTGTCAGGAAAAAATAGAGTTAGAAGGAACTGGAAGGAAAACATCAAGAATAAAGACAGCGTTAGAAGGAGGAGAAGGAAAACATCAAGAATGGGAGAAGGAAATCACCAGGAAAAATACGGAGTCAGGATACAGAGGAAGAATAAAGGAGACCATCAGGAGACAGTGTGAGCGCTTCACCCCCTCAGATAAAAAAGCCGGAGGATGCCAGCTCCGTGGATTCCCTTTGAGCCCTGTACTGCTCCAGGCTGGCCCCCCAGGCAGTGATAACAGAGCGAGCATGAGGCTAGCCTAGGTTACAGGTCTCAACAACAGTAACAAAACGCAAGCTCCTTTCTCAGCCCACAGAGCCCTATACTCTCAGCCTTGTGACAGAGATTATTGCCATCACATTTTCAAACGACGGCTGCACATTGCCCTGGGATGGGCCCAGGCATTGATTTTTCTTCTTTAAGCTCATGGGGTGATTTGACGTCATACTCAGGGTGGATAAGGCCTGCTCAGGGTATCAGGCTTCCAGCTGCAGCACTGGTACCACTCACAGAGTGCTTCCCCCAGGTGACACAGAATGGTATAAGCAAACGAGTGAATGGCAAGTCCCTCTTGGGTTTGATCGGTGCCAACTGGCCGGTGTGACCTCATGCAAGTGACCCGTCCTTGTGAGTGTATTTGCCCCTCTGTGGAAAGCAGGACAAAAGGCCCCAGAGTGTGGGGCTGCGCTCGGACTTATTCAGGAGCTGAGGCAGCGTTGAAAGTTTGAGCCCTGGCTGGGTTCAAGACCCAGTCTCAAAATAGCAGAAAGAAAGAAAAGAAGGAAAGAGGGAGGGAAGGAGGGGGAAGGGAGGGAGGGGAGGAAGGAAGGAAGGAAGGAAGGAAGGAAGGAAGGAAGGAAGGAAGGAAGGAAGGAAGGAAGGGAAATTAAGGGAGTGCTGGGAGATGGATGTGGTGGCTCAGGCCTGCAACCTCCACTCTTGGCCAGCTGAGGTAGATGGATCCCCTGAGCTCTAGGCCAGTCACCCTACAGAGTGAGTTGCAGGTGAGCCTGGGCTAAAGTGAGTCCCTTCCTAAAACAAAACAAAACAGAATGGGGGGCTGGAGATGCAGCTCAGTGGTATTGTACTTGCCTAGCATGCATGAGACTGTAGATCAGTCCCCAGAAGAGGGGGAAGGGGACCTCGCAGATACAAGCCCTTACTTCAGCAGGGACAGTAGTCATGAAACACCAATCTGTAGAATGGTCTCCCTTCTTTCCCTTCATATCCCAGATGTCTGCCCCCTGCGTCACAGACCCGTGCACGCCCCCTCCTCTTGCACCCCAGCATCTTACTGAGAAGCTCTGGCCACGAGTGAAGGGCATATTCCCAGGCAGCTCCCGCTCCTCAGGTCCCCAGGAGTTGTTGATCTGGGTGTTTCGGACTACAGCCTTCTCATTAAAACGGGGATTCAGGTGAAAAGCGATGTCCATCCCAGAGCGGAGGTTGATGTGGAACCTGGAATGGGCAGTCCACATAGGCCCTGTCTGACCACTGAGCTCTGGGCCCAGTTCCTACCCATCACCACCAGGTGGCTCAGAGCCAGAGGCTGGCCAGAACCACACTGGGAGCCTCGGGTCTCCCAAGAGCCCTGGAGGCCTGTCTTACCTCTGAGCATCAGGCAGGACCGTGCCTGATATGATGATGGACTTGGATGGGTAAAGCCCATTTGGGATGGAGGTGAACAAAGGTATAGGCTGTTGGAAGGGTGAAAACGAATCATCAGCAGCTGGACAGCTGCTGTGGGGACTCAGCACAGGGGGCTGTGGACTCTGGAGTCACGCCTGCGAGTCCTGCATCTTCTGGAAGGGACCCAGGTTATTTCCTTGGTTCATCAAATGTCAAAAGAACACCTTCCAGTGTTTCCTAAAATCCATTTCAACTGTCATGAGAGGGATTGGGCAGGGCACAAATGGCTTGTTGGGGTTTGAATGAGAATGCCCACCCCCAGATGCTCATGTATTTGAATAGTTGGCCGCCAGTTGGTGGCACTGGGGATAAGCTTTGAGGTATCAAATGGCTGTGCAATTCCCAGACTCTCTCTCTCTCTCTCTCTCTCTCTCTCTCTCTCTCTCTCTCTCTCTCTCTCTCCTCTCTCCCTCCCTCCCTCTCCCCCACCTCTTCCCCTCCTACAAATGTAAGCTTCCAGCTCCAGCTCCAGCTCCATATCTATCTGCCTGCTGCCATGCTCCCTGCCGTGATGGTCATGGTCTCTGAAGCCCCAAACGACACTCTTTCTCCTGTAAGTTGCCTTGGTTATGATGTTTATCACGTCAATAGAGAAGCGTCGAAGGCGGGTATAGAGTTTGCTCATGTTGAAGGCACCATTTTAAAGTTAAAAGCTCTATTCCACTGTCTGCTAATTTACATGGCTATTTGTAACTGTTTGCCTGGATGCGGGATCATGCAAGTCAGAGGATTGTCCGCCACTAAAGCTGCCCTTCACCTCTCAGCCTGCCCAACACCGGCTAACGCTCGGGCCCTCTGCAGGAAACCACTTACATAGGACATGTTGGGGTACACCACGGGCTGGATTCCAGGAGTCTGCGAAAGAGATCAGGGTTCCATACAGAAACGCAAGGTAAATAGCGGCCCACACTTCAGGGGGCCCCAATATCCAGTCCTTGAGACCTCCCATTCCCCTTCTCTGTCACACCAGCGTTTCTGAAACTTCTTGCTGTTTTCCTGGACCCATTATGGTCCCCTACCCTTCAGGCACGCCCCTTGCAGCCCCACCAACTTGGGGTCCCCCACCCGCACTGTGCTGGGGAAAGAGAATTAGACTGGCCTGGTCAGTAGTGCTTTGGCATGGACTTGACCTTAGTAAGCCAGCTAGAGGCTGGGGCCACCACACTCCAGCCTGGGCAACCGGAGGGCCAGTGTGTCTGCCTGTCCTACTCCTCTGAAGACTGTTCCTGAACCTCTGCTGTCCCGAGGAGAGTCTGAGCGCTGCCATCTTCCTAGCCAGCACGGGGCCCATCCCCAGCTTTCCCCATCTTCTTTCCTAAGCACACCAACTGTGTGACTCTAGGGAATTCTGGTTTTGATTAAAAGAAAGTGGTGGGGCTGTGAGATTAACCAAAAATGTTTAGACTTACATGAAACATCTGTCCAGGGGCACTGTGAACGGTGTGGATGACGGTTTGAGTCTGGGGGAAAAAGAAACGGGTCTTAACCAGCTCTCACCACTGTGAAGACTACTACCTGCCACCAGAGGGCGCTACATGATCCCCCCCCACCCTTAAGCCTGAACCTTGAACTGTAACTAGGGGCATCATTCACCACAGCCCCTCCCCAGACACTAGGAGTGTGGAGAGGCATTTCTCTACTGGAGAAGGTGGATTGCGAGAGTTCCACCCCACCAGCCTTGTTTTGCAGGAGGGAAGGGTGAATGTGTGGCTCCCTCTGGGGCAAACAAACCCTTTCAGATGTTCTGACTCACTTCTGCTCCCCGGTGCTGGGATTACAGCTGCGCACCCCTTTGTATGTGGCGTGCCGAGATTCAGACTGAGCCTTTGCAAACGCTGGACAAGCACCCCCACCAACGGAATTCATCCCCCAGCCCCATTTTCTATTGGGTCAGAGCCAGCCAAGCACACCTGCGACCCCTTCCCACCAACATCGCCGAGGCCTGGTGGGTGGGGAGTGTGGGTAGCCTTGTCGGCCCTCATGGGGGAGGCTCAGCCTGCTGCTCCTTTTAGCCCACAACGGGAGCCATATTGAAGAGGTTCCAAAACATAAAAAGATCAAGGGACTTACCATGGGTGGCTGGTGGACAGGCCGAATGCCCGGAGGCTGAGAAGGATCAAGGGAGGTAAAAGGAGAGATGTTATCTCTGGGGTCACATGGGGTGAGAGGTGACTTCAAACTCCAGGTGTGCTTCTTATGGTCGGCTGTACCTCCCTAGACACGTCACCTCCTTCCTGAACCTGCTGCACCCAAAGTCTCACCCTCGTGTGCACAGGGGGGTCAGGATTAAGGGAGGGAGACTGTCTCCTGGCTTCCTGAGGGATCAATCTGCCGACCATGTTGCTTCCCTGGGCCCCCAGAGGCAAGAGCCCCACCCCCCAGCTCCCCATTTCACCTGCTAGGTGAAAGTGAGCATTTAGTGCTCGCTCAGCACACAGCCTCGGTGCTGTCCACGGAGGGCGGCATCCCTGACTCCCATCTCTCCGGTGAGGCCCGAGGCTCTTAGAGGTTAAGCAACTTGTCCAGGCTAGCCCAGGTAGCAAGCGGGTGAAAAGATTCCTAATAGACCCGAGCTGGGTCATATTGTATCCACCACATCCTATATCCTCCCCAGGTAGAAGGGAGGTCCCTGCCCGGACCACCACGACCCACAGAGAGGTTAGTACCTAGGAGACCCTCTTTGCCCTAACCCCAATTGCCTGAGTGACCACAGAGAGAGCTACGGCCTTTCCTCCCTGCCCCCATCCCCCCCCCCACCCCCACCCCCACCCCTCCAGCAGATCCTTCCCTCCTTTGCCCCCTATTCTCCCTGGCTGAGCAAAACAAAAACAAACAAACAAACAAACAAACAAAACAACAGTAACAACAAAAAGCCCCATGGCATGCCAGTACTGTGTGAGGGGCTAGCAACACACTAACGAACCAACAAGCCATGCCGCCAGTCTTCCAGGGGCTCCGGGGCATGAGGAAGGTGGGCGGCATGATGAAGACAGACAGACAGACAAAGGATGTTGTGACCGACCAGCACAAACAAGCAGGAAGTCCACCGTGACACCGGGTGGGTCAGAGAAGACTCTTGAGCGCCACTTAAAGAACTACAGGGTGATTGTTAGTTTGCCAGGGGCAAGGTGGACAGAAGGGGCAGCCTGGGCAAGAGAGAGGTGGCCAGATGAGCTGTTGGCGGTGGCATGGCTGAGCAGAGGTCGTGAGCTGGGGACAGACTAGGGAGTGTTCTCTTCTGTCTTGTGAGGGAATTGGCGCGTGTGTTTATTTGTTATGCAAGGTTCTGTTCTGTGGTTTTGTTCTATTTGTTTGAGACAGGGTCTCACGTAGTCCAGGCTGAGAGTGATCTTGAACTTCTGATCCTTCCGGACTCTGCCCCCAGAGTATTAGGATTATAGGTATCCACCAGGCTTTGGGCTCCGTTTAGAAAGACTTTGGAACCCAAGCCTAAAGATTTACAATGGGAGAGGGTGAGATGGAATGTGCTGGGTGAGGTCACCATGCAGCGGTGGTGCCAGTGGGTGAAAGGTACCAAGCCAGAGGTCATGTGTGTGAGGAGTTACCACAGGTTGGACCTAGGTAGCGGCTTTGGGGACAGAGAAGATGGAACGTGGAAGGACAAAGGGGGTAGTGACAACTCTGGGAGCTGGTGAATGCAGAGGACCCTGTGTTGATGTGACGGGGCCCGAGGGCCCTGGAAAGCTTGTTGGTGGGACCCGCCTCTGGGCTCCAGCTTTTGGCTACTGATGGACCTCCTGGCCGCACACTTAACTCACTTTTGGTTTGCGCCCCCTGGAGTTCTTTGGGAACTGGACGGGCTGAGAGAATTGCACTGTGGAGAAGACAGGCTGGACAGGGGCTGCAGAGGAGTTCTGTTAAAAACAAAAGCACGTCTGGGTGACAGGAAGCAGGGCGCCCGGCCGGAGCAAGGGCAGGCAAAGGGCAGGGGCTGGCTCCTGACGCAGAGGAAGGAGGCCAAGAAAGGGGTTCGATTGGAAAACAGGAAATGGGAGCATAAGGCCAGAGGGAAAGGGGTCCAGCATACCCCGGCTTTCCAGTTAATCACAGAGTATCTCTACATTATTTATTTATTTATTATGTTTGATATTTTGGTGACAGGGTCTCATGTAGCTCAGGCTAGCCCTAAACTCAGTATGTAGGAGAGGATGATCTTGAACTCCTAACCCCTCTGCTGTTGGAATTATAAGCTTGAGATACTATGCCCAGCAAGACGTTCAGATCTTGGAAACACATTAAAAATTTTAAAACAAGTTGGGTAATGATGGCAGCTTTAATCTCAGCACTCAGGAGGCAGAGACAGGTGGATCTCTGTGACTGTGAGGCCAACCTGGTCTACATAGCAAGCTCCAGAAAAGAGAGACTACATAGAAAGACCCTGTCTCTGTCTGTCTGTCTGTCTCTCTTTTTAGAAAAAAAAAAAAAAAAACACAGCTGAATGCGGTCCTATGTGTCTGTAATCCCAAGCTCTGAAGAGCCTGAGACAGAGGGATCACAAGGTAGAGCCAATCTGGGTTACACAGAACTCAAGGCCAGCCCAAGCTGCATAGTAAGAATCTGTGTTTAAGAGAAAAAAAATGGATTTTCAGAACTGGGCCTGGTGTTAGACACCTGTAATCACAGCACTGTGGAGTCTGAGGCAGAAGGGTTGACACAAGTTCAAGGCCAGTCACAGCTGTATACACTGCCTTCAAATAAATGAATCAATGAATAAATAAATAAATAAATAAATAAATAAATAAATAAATAATTGGTTTTCTGAGCTGAGCCCAGTAATATCTGTCTGTAATCCCAGCACTCAAGAGGCTGAAGCAGAAGGGTCATAAGTCAGAGGCCAGCCTGGGCTACAAAGTGAGATCATGACACAGACAACAAATATCTCACACACGAAACGTTTTTTTTGGTGTTTGTTTTGGCTTTGGTTTTCTTTTTCCTTTTTCTTTTCTTTTTTGTTTGTTTTTATTTTATTTGTTATTATTATTATTATTGTTATTATTATTATTATCAGGCCTTGTTTGTTTTTAACACGGAGGTCAAACAGACCCAGGCTGGGCTCCGGGAGCCATGCTCTGCCCTCTGATTTGGATTCCATTTGGTTCCCCAAGCACAAGCCCTTCTAGAACTCCCTCTAGAACATTTAGCAATAGACGGTTGCAGGGAAGGAGTAGCTTTGGCATCTTGGAGACCAAGGCAGATCGTTCATTATCGAGAAAGCAATACCAAGAAGGACAGAGGGACAGACAACAGGCAGACAGACACCAAACCAGGGAACCAGTGCGGCCCCAAAGCTACCGGGGGAAGATACTTGCTGGTTCCCTGTTGAGTGAGCACAAGCCCAGCTGGTCACTGTCCTTCAACCCCGGGACAGGTGCCAGCCGCTCCTGACCTGGAAGGTGATGAAGGAGAGCTGCAGGGCACCGGAGACAGCAATGGTGTCGGCGAGCTGGTAGGGTACGCGGTGTGGGTACTGCACAAAGAAGTTCTTGTTCACCATCACCTGCCGGAAGAGAGATGCTGTGAAGTGCCGGCCCGGGCCGCACCTGAGCTTCACATTCAGAAATAAAGACCTGAGCCCACTCGGAGGCAGGAGCCTCATCTTCAGTGGGGCACCAAGGACAGAGAGGGATATTTTTAGAGCTCTTTTATTTCATGTGTTTAGCTGTTTTGCCTGCGTGTATGTATGTGCACCACATGCATGCCTGTGATGCCAGAAGAGGGTGCTGAATCCCCTAGAACTGGATTACAGACGGTTGTGAGCTGCCATGTGGGTGTAGGGAACTGAACTCCGGATCTCTGCAAGAGCAGCCAGTGCTCTTAACCTCTGAGCCATCTCTCCAGTCCCCAGGTTTATCTTTTCATGTCAGTTAATTTTTTTTTAATTGATGTTATTGAAACAGGGTCTCATGTAGCTCAGGCTGGCTTCAAACTTACTATGTAGCTAAGGATGACCTTGAAAGCTACAGATGACCTTGAACTCCTGATCTTCCTGCTCCCATCCCCCAAATGCTGGGATTACAGGTGGGTACCACCGTGCCCAGTTTATGCAGAGCTTTGTTCATGCTAGGCAAGCACACCAACCCAGTGAACTATATCCCAGCCCTCGCCCGGGACAGTCTCTAGGTGTGCGGAGGATGCGTGTGAGAAGCACAGGAAAGGCAACCTTAGGTCGTGCTTGGAGTGCACAAGAACCCCAGTGTCGCACAGACAAGCTCAGGCGCGGACACACTCACCCCACCCCAGCCCAGAGACAGTACCCCCAGTTCCTCTGTAAAGACACTGCCTTTTAGCCTGAAGAGAACAATGTGGTCAACAGGTACATGGTGAGACTGGGGCGTGGCTCAGTGGCAGAGCACTTGCCTAGTGTGCGGGAAGCTAGGTTTGATGGCCAGCACCACAGAGTAGATGTTCCGAGGGACCTGCAGCGGAGGACCGCAGCTAGCTAACTTGGACTTTGGGACAAGCGAGGCTCTCTGCACAGGAGGAGGCTTTGAGATAGCTGGGGGTGTGGGGGTAGGGGTGGGGGGAGAAGGTCATATCTTTTCAGTGCTGGAGCCACTGCAGGGTGGCCCTCAATCCAGCAAGCAACCCCACACCCATGCATACAAGGCAACTCTAATAAAACCCAGTGGGTTATTGAGGGGGTTAAAAGACATGAAGGTAAGGAAGGCTTGTGGGGAGACAAAGGTTCCCGAGGGAGTGCAAGGGGGGGAGGGGGAGGGGAGAGGGAGGGGAGGGGGAGGGGGAGTGTGCGCGCTCAAAATACATTCCATATGTGTATGAAATTATCAAAGGATAAATACAGAGTTTGGGGGGTGTTTTGTTTGTTTGTTTGTTTTAGACACCTGGGGCCTAAAAGCAACACGGTGACAGATTGAAGTCTTATTGTTTGGGTGGGAGCTCCACCTCAACCCCTGGCACCCTGGCATCCCTATACCCAAGAGTCTGGAATGTTCTCGTGGAAGATCCACCTCAACTCTCCTCCGCCATCTCTTTCCCCAAATCGCCTCCTCAAAGCCTGCCAAACACAGCTCCTCCCCCAGAGAGGCTCTTGACCACTCCCACAGGGTATTTAAGTTGCATCCCAGAAAACAGACACGTGGTTCTTCTGGTCTCTTGTCCCCATCTCCTCTTTGGGGAGCTGGGGAATCACCCGGGAATGTTTTACCCATTAAACCTGGGATTTTCTAATTCGGTCTGATTTGGATTGCTGTGTCCGCGGAGAGGCTTGTCGGATGCGGGGGTGGAAGTGTGTGTGTGTGGGGACTTTCACTTATTTTCTGAGGAATCAAAGCAAAAGGTAGACCTGTAGATACTGGAGGCTGGAGTGTGTAAGGCAAAGGGCAAAAGGTCACATCTGTGCAGTAGCTAGGCTGGGGCCTGATGTCAGTGAATGTGGCTGTTAAAATGTTGTCCACCCAAGGGGCAGATTGCGGGGGTGGGGGTGGGATCCCCACTCACCTGGAAGTCTGACCTCTGCACCAGGAAGCAAAGCTCAAAGGGCACCCCCTTCTGGAAGGGCATCTGCATCTTCCTCTCCTCAGGCCCCCAGTGTCCTTTCTGCTTCGTGTTACAGACCACATACCCTCCATTTTCAAACCGGGGATTGAAGTGGAAGACAATGTCATTTCCGCTGAAGCCGGACTGAAAGTTCACAGCGAACCTAAGGCAGAGAAACGAGCCTCCTGGAGCATGGCTTGCTGCCCGGGGCGGACAGAACCCTTCGGACCTCCTCCTCAGTTAGCGTGTTTGGGCTCATCTAGTTCAGACTTAATGTATTCGTGTAGTTACGGCATTTTGTCCTTCCCGTATTCTTTTCTTAGAAAGTTAAGTAGACAATTAGGGAAAATGACACTAACAGTAACAATAAACACATCTTTTGTCCCCGGCTCTGGTCACGGGACACAGAGAAACCAAGCTGGAACTGGGCTGGACCTTGGTAGCCAGCACTCAGGGCTGGTGCTATGCAGCCTTCCGGAGGAGAATTGTCATCAACTATCTTACTCAGCTGGGCATCGCGTGCGACACCGTTGTCATAGTTGGTTTCAGTTGTTGACACATCTGGGAAGGCGGAGCCTCGACCAGGGAATTGTGTCTAAGGGCTGACCTATGGGCGTGTCTATGGGGTGTTTTTCTTGGTTATTGGTGGATTAGGAGGGCCCCGCCTACTGTGGGCGGTCCATATCTGAGCAGGTGGGCTGGGGCTGCATTAAAAAAAAAAAAAGTAGCCGGGCAGTGGTGGCGCACGCCTTTAATCCCAGCACTTGGGAGGCAGAGGCAGGTGGGTCTCTGTGAGTTCAAGGCCAGCCTGGGCTACAGAGTGAGATCCAGGACAGGCACCAAAAACTAGGCAAAGAAACCCTGTCTCGAAAAAACAAAAACAAAAACATGTAGCTGAGCAAGCTAGGGGAAGCAAGCCAGGAAGCAGCTTCCCTCTGGGGTCTCTGCTTCAGTTCCTTCCTTGGCTTCTTTCAATGATGGATCGTAACCTATATGCCAAATAAACGCTTTCCTTCCCAAGTTGCTTTTGGTCAGCAAGCTTTATCACAGCAACAGAGAGGCAAACGAACACAACTTCCATCTGGCCAGGCAAGATGTATATGGTGGTAGTAATGGCCCCCATGGACTCAAGTATTTGAAAGCTTGGTCATAGGGAGGGGCACTATCAGAAGGTGTGGCCTTGATGGAGGACATGTGTCACTGTGGGTTGGGCTTTGAGGTCTCATATGCTCAAGATATGCCCAGTGTGGCATACAATCTCCTTCTGCTGCCTGTGGATCAAGACATAGAACTCTCAGCTCCTTCTCGGGCACCACATCTGCCTGCATGCCACCATGCTTCTCGACGTGATGATAATGAACTAAACTTCTGAAACTGTAAGCCAACCTCCATCAAGTGTTTTCCTTTACAAGAGTTGCTGGGGTCATGGTGTCTCTTCCCAGCAATAGAAACCTAACTGAGACAGTGTCCCCCTGGGTCAACAGTGGCAAGTTTGTTGTGGTGGTATCGACTACTTTCTGACTGGATTTGAGGTGGGAATTCACATCTGGTACTGTAGACCTGGATAAAAGCCTGCAGCTGGAAGGTCTTAGGCCCTGGTGGAGAAACTAATACCATTGTTTTGCTGCATGGACACAATGTGCATACAAAAACACCTCTACATGATCATGTTTGTGCCTGTAGATCAACGCTGCTGTCAGCTTTGGGCAGAGAAACCTCTTTTTGCAATGGGCAGTGGTAACTGCAGAAAAAGTGACAGCTATCCCTGGGCATCAATGGTAAAAATAAACAAAAACGGACATGGGCCATCTCTACCGCCCCCTTCTAGTTTCACAGAACATCGCAGAAGAGAGGGCAGAAAGACTGCTCGGATTACAGGTGTGCACCACCATGCCCAGTTTATGTAGTTCTGGGATCTAACCCAGGGCTTGGTGTGTGCAACATAAGCACTCCACTAATGCAGCTACATCTCCATCCCTGGGATCACTCTTGACAGGAACTTGAAAATATCTCCTAGGACTCAAAAATTGATAGGGCTGGAACTGGAGAGACAGCTTGGAGGTTAAGAACATTTCCTGCTCTTCCAGAGGACACTGACTCGGTTTTCTGCATCCCTATCAAGCAGCTCATAACTGTCTGTAACTCCAGCTCCAGGGGGATCTGACACTCTCTTCTGGCCTCCTCTGTCACCTGTACACACAACACACTTGTGCGCAGACACACACACACACACACACACACACACACACCCCTAAAAAGAAAACTACACAAAGCTGCGGTGGAAACTAACGGAACTTTTCTTCTTGTGGCACCATTTCACAGTGTCAAGAGTGCTTCCTGCTGCTCTGGCCCTGCTGCTACTTCCCTCCTCAGACTGTGAGCTCCCTGGGAGCAGGATGCTCCCTGGGAGCAGGGTGCTCAGGGCCCAGGAGTCTAAGGAGCCTGTCCATGGTGCCAAAATGGCAGGAGGTATGGGACGGCCAGCTCTCCACAGTCTGCAGCTCCTTGGTTGCTGAGGCTGAGATTAACATCAGTATTGTGGCGGTTTGAATAGGAATGGCCCCCAGAGACTTGAGTATGTGAGTGCTTGGTCCATAGAAAGTGGCACTCTTAGGAGGTGTGGCCTTGTTGGAGGAAGTGTGTCGCTGTGGGGGCGGGCTTTGAGGTCTCATGTGCTCAAGCTACACCCAGCGTGACACACAGTCTCCTCCCGAGTAGCCTGCAGATCACAATGTAGAACTCTAGGCTCTTCTCCAGCACCGTTTCTGCCCGAGTACTGCCATGCTCCCCATCATGACGACAATGGACTAAGCATCTGAAACTGTGAGCCAGTCCCAGGGAAATGTTTCCTTTTATAAGAGTTGCTGTGGTCATGGTGTCTCTTCACAGCAATAAAACCCTAAGACAAGCGTCATCCACGTACTTATCTGCAAAGGGCTGGACGATCCCGTGAATGGTGATCTGAAGTCCCTCCTGCAGCCCTCCTTGGATTGTTCCAGAAAAGGGGACGGCCTGCAGAGGGGAAATGGAGAGATACCAGTTGGCTGGCGCCTGCATGGTGTGGCAGTACCCAGTTAGGGCTGGGGGGGGGGCATGGTCATCGAGGAGCTAGAATCCCAGCCTCACAGACCGGAGGGTCCCTCACAGAAGCAAGCCCCGTCCAGTTCATTACAGTCATTCTGAGAATATCAGAAGACTGCCAGGTTTCTGAGGCGTGACTGGCAGCCGACCTCCACCGTCGGGGGGAAGTGACAGCTGTGGAACCTACCCGAGTGAAGCAACATGCAAATGGCCTGCAAGGTAAGGAAGGAACTAGAATGGGGTGAGGGCTGCTGTTACCAAACCAAGTTCCTGAAAGGCCTCAGGGTTCTGACGAGGGACCCACCATTCTGTTTTGGACCGCAAACAATTTGTTCCTGAGAGGGAGGTATCCCCTCCCGCCACCATGTAACAATGGCAGCCAGGACCTTACCCTCCAGGCCAGCTCTGCTGTGAGTTGGTGGAGGCAGCCTCGTTCCTGAAGTTCCTGGCTCCTGTTCATGCTTGCCCCAGAAGCCTGTGAGCCCCAGTGTTCCCTCCATCCCAGGCCCTGCCAGAAGTCTGTCCATCAGGTCTCTCCCAGATCTCCCTAAAGTGGCCTGAAGGAGCACTGGGTCCCACTGAGCGTCACAGTTTTAGAGGCAGGAGGATTCCAGGTTTGAACCCTCGTCATTGCTCAGTATCTGTGTGGCCTTCCAAAATTGAGCCTCTCTGCCTCCGTTTCTTCATTAGTAAACAGGGATGAACTACCTCCCTGCTGGCTTCTTCACGAAGCTGGTATCCCTCTGCCCCCACTCGCCTTGCCTTGTGCTCTCAGAGCCAAATCCCCAAACTGATGACTGCCAATGTCCAAAATGCCTTGTATACCAAGCGTGGCTCTGCCCCTTGCAGGGTCTGTTCCCTGGCTGATTCCCACATCACCCCAGGGTTTTTAGTGGCCTTTCCAACACCTTCTTTGGGTCAACACCCTATGTAAGTTAAATACTCCAGGAGCCAGGAAGGTGACAGAGCTGAGTGAAGCGGCCAGGCAGGGCACAACAGGAAGTGACGGGGATTGGGAGAGAGTCGGCCTCACACTGTTTAGCAGGGCACTGTCCGCTCAGCTCTAGTGAATGGTCATCGCCCATGCCCAGTGCCGGGGGAACGAAGTGGGCAAACACAAGACACAGTTTTAGTACCCTGGGGCCCTATTTGGTTTGGGACTGTGCACACCCCATCCCTTCCAACACTTCACTGGGCAGCCTCGCTCCTCCACCCGCTTGCGCTGTGCACGTACACCCCTGTCCAAACAATGAAGCTAGAAACCCCAGAAGTCTCTGAAGGCTGCACCTGCATCAGGCTGGCCTACTCCCCTATCTGAACAATAGTGTAAGTTTCTCTGGTAACAATCAAATCCAGACAGTTCCTATTCAAATGTATCCCCAACACATTCACGTTGGAAGAAAAGAAGGGTTCGTTCAGCCTGAACTGATTTGGGGTACGTGTGCGGCAAAGCGAAGCCGTCAAAGGGGGAGGCTCGCTTACCACCCCGTGCCTCTGCGAGAGGGAAGGGACATGCACAGCCGGAGCTCATGAAGAGATGACCCAAACTATCCGTGAAGGCAGAGAAGCCCTTAGACCACACCCCAGCTCCTCCTCCTTCTCCTGAACCCCGTAAAAGGAAGTCCTGCCGACAGCTGGGCCCTGGAGTACTCCGGCACACCTCGGCCTAGGTCGTGGTCCGTTCGGAGCGCCTCCCCCTCTTACTAACCCGAAGCATTGCTTCAGATAAAGCTGTGTGGCTTCCTCTGCAAATCCCTGTGAGCCTCTTGTTTTGAATTCTTTGGATAAGATGCCAAAAACCTGGAAACACCAACCACAGATAGCGGGGCTGCCAGACTTTCACAAGAACCCAGAAATCGGGACAATGAGGATGATTTTATGTTCTAATTCTGGGGTGCTGGGGACTCCACACAAACATATAAGAATTCTTGTCAGGTGGGGTCCCGCACACCTGTGATCTCAGCACTTGGAAAGTGGGTGCTGGGGGATCTGAGTTCAAAATTAATCAGTTAAAAATTCATCCTGTGCCGGGCGTTGGTGGCGCACGCCTTTAATCCCAGCACTCGGGAGGCAGAGCCAGGCGGATCTCTGTGAGTTCGAGGCCAGC